CTGTGTCAATAGAGGGTGAACCGGATGTAGTACGAGCTTCTGCCGCTAGGGGGTGCGGCCTACATTCATAGTGAATCAGTGTGCCAGCCGGCCTCATCGAATTAGCATTTGTTTCTTAGTTACGGGCGTTTTGGTAGTGCGATTTCGGAATGGCGTGTGCATCAAATTTTGTCAAAGACTCGCCAAAACGGCTACGGGAACCTATGAAATGCTAAAGCCAGCATTTGGGGAGTCCGCAATGGGTCGTGCACCAACTTTTGTGTGGCATTCACGTTTTAAAAATGGCCGAACCTCTGTCGATGATGACGAGCGTTCTGGCCGACCATCTTCGAGCACAACGCCCGAAAATGTTACGAAGATTCGGCAGGCCATTCACGAAGATCGACGTCTTACCATCAACGACTTGTGCGACATTGTTGGGATAGGCTATGGGACCTGTCAGCTGATTCTAAAGGAAGAACTCCACATGCGACGCATCCTGTCTGAGGACCAGAAGCAGAATCGACTTGACTTCTCGTTTGTCAGGAGCTCAAAGATCTTGCAAGAACCGACCCCAACTTCCTTTCTAAGCTCCGTGTGACTTCTTCCTTTTCCCAAAGATGAAAATTCAGCTAAAGGGAAGGAGATTTGAGACGATAGAAGAGATTCAGTCAGAATCGCAGATAGTGCTTGACAGGCTGACAAAGAAAGATTTCCAGGGATGCTTCCAGGCTTGGCAGCGGTGCTGGGATCGTTGTGTTCACTCCCAGGGTAACTACTTCGAGGGTGATGGATGAATTTAATACCTGAGATAAGTGTGCGGGTTTTTATACGCGCAGTCTTGAAACCTTTCGATCGCACCTCGTAAGCATCGCATTTAGTAATGGCTCGGGTTTACGTGAAATGTGCCGCGTGTAGCGACACACAGCGGGCGCGGAAATAAACAGATTTCAAGGTTGTTTTATTTTACACTAGCCTTCGTTCCTAATCCCAACACCACGTGCGTGTGTAATTGCAGACATCTGTCCCACCCACCTTTGGTATCACAACGGAGTGAGAACTCCAGTTGGATCGTACCAGATTCAAATTCAGGAGGAATGTGGTTCGAGCCCAGCTATTCTGAATGAAGATTTTCGTAGTTCATCTTTATTTCTTCTGACAAGGACAGGAAACTCTTTTCCGTTCGGTGTATATTTTTTCTTTTAAAAAAATGTTTTTCAATCGAACCACATTTTATAATAATTATTATTAAACTTCGCTGATGCAACATCATTAGATGGAAGTGAGTGATCAGTTTCACGCCCCCGGCCACTTCACCCCGATGGTAAGGGTCGCAGTTTCCATTTTGGCTGTGAGACTGGGCCCCAAACAGAACCTACAGCTTGTCGGTAGCAGTTCTACCAGCAAATCTATTCCTTGGTCGTAACCTCTGGGAAATTTAGCTCGCTGTAGCAAGGAGAGAGACATAAGGGCGAATTTCCAGCGTTCTAAAATTAAACTTTTGCCCATGAGAAGATATCTTAACAGAAACCTTCGGGTAGACGGATCGGTGTAGCCAGGGTGAACTAATCCATGACGTGACGAAGAGGATTTACGAATGTTGAGGCCTGTCTTAGAGTTTTTCCCCCAGAATAAACAGCAGACTGGCGATAGATTTAAACTCTAGCCCTTTCTTCGTAAGTTATTCATCAAATTACGTGTCTCGATAGTTCATGTTATTTTAAAAAAAATTATTGCAATGCAAAACGAAATTTCTTTTACATTGAATAGGGCTCGTAAGATACCGAATTGAATAGGTTGTAAGGTATAGGTTGTATTGATGGTAGGCAATTAAGAAGTGCGAGGCATACTGACATGTATCGTGAAAAACCGTATCTTTATTCAAACATTATGTACGAGGGAGAAACATAAACACTCGATATCTTTCTTTGTGAAGTCTTGAAAATAAAATTACAAAATCGTCTTGGTTCTGGGAAATAAACACGATTCTGATAAACGAAATTATCTGTAGTAAGATAATGCAGGTATTATGTGCAATAAACGGATAAGGAAGATTTATTACCTACAAGCAGACCAGAGTTTTATTACAATCTTAAAGAAGTGGCCGACGGATATAGCGACGTTCAATGTAACTTCGGTCTCCCTTGTTTCCACAGGCTTTCAGTTCTAATCGATTATTCTAGTCCCCTTAAATCACTTTTAAATTTATAAAAAAAAATTCAGTGATACTTCCTGCCTCCATCATCAGGACGAAAAGATGCTAATATGAGCGCGCGATATTTAAAACGATAATTAGCCATTTCCATCCACCTCTCATGCACACAAAGTACTTGCTTAAGATCCATCTTAATGTTATCCTCCCATCTCTTCCTTGGTTTTCCACGAAGTATCCCTATCATCATTCATCTTGTATTCATTTTCACATCCTAGTTAAATATTTAATCCACTGTAGATTCCTACTTTTCGGTAACAAACTATGATAGAATCCCTTGGCGAAGTGGTTCATGGTTGGTTGTTTCATTGGATGTCGAAGACACCCACTGGTTGTATTAAGGTGTAAGTCTATTTGCATTCTCCAACACAAAAGCAAACAACACTCCCAACTTGGCTGACGTCAGATATCAAACAACGCATAGACAAATTCTTCATTATGTCATATCAGCTCCTTAAAACTGTAATAATTTATTACTGAGTAAACAAGTTATTTTCTTATCATGAGGGCGGTCTTCAGTTTTCGAAAGTTCGATTTACGATAATCCATGTTTTAAGTGTTCAATCGATCTATCGATTTACGACATCGACATGACGGACGCAGGCGAACAAGAAATTAGCTAACATTTTGTGTTCGGTGCATATTGTACTGTGCTGTAATGCTAGCCATGTAAATTACAACAGAAGGACACACTTTTGTGGCATATTTACAATGTTTAAGACGCAATAATACATAATATATAATATTGTATTTTAAAAATCTTAGCGTTTTGCTGTTCTGTGAGGTTTTTATCGTATTGACAATAGCGGAAATGCGATGTCTGACACAAAAATAACGAGAATGGTCCTATAACAAGGCAATCAATAATAGTGAGGTCGAAAAATGTCATATTGTAAATTGGAACAAGGTATTGACTGAGGCTTGCATTGAAGATTGTATGTCTCGTACACGTGTATTAGCAAAGTTGGTCCCCAACAGCCAGACGGTAAATCAACAGTATTATGTCGAAATTTTGAAAAAATTTCGCGAAAGAGTCAGAAGAAAATTACAATCCGTGCTCAGTGGCAACATCGTATGCATCTGTGTGTGTCAACTCCGAAGGGAACTATTTCGAGGGTGATCACATTTAATTTTTGTGATTATGTTCATAAAAGAGTTACGTCTCGTTATTTTTGTGTCAGACCTCGTATAATCCAAGAACCAGAAAATTATTACATTTGTTGAGCAATTGCCACCAAATTCAATACAAATATAAATAATCCATCTGGAAAATTAGCTAACCTGCTACATAGGCATTGCACCCATACGTACCACGGATCGATAAGATAAGTACAGCAAATTGGGATATAATCAGAGACGCTGTTCAGTCTTCTGACGAGCCCTGAGGAACAGAGATGGTGAGTGCACAACCTTGTTCAGTTAGCACGTTATGAGAACATTCAGTAGTCAAGTTGCGGCCTAGGAAGTGAGTTTGTCTTGGGACATTCAAGCGAAGCATTTTAGTGCTTTGAATATGGAATTCAGGAAAACGGCAATTGTTTTGTGCGAAAGGAAAAGTGTAATCCCAAAATTTATTACTTAGTCTCCTTTCCTTACATTATCTCGTCCGTGCTTCAGTCACTATAATAACTCTTTATGCAAATTACGGATGTTTTTGAAAGTTGGCAACAAGAAAGCCGTGCCAACCTATGAGCTTGCAACAGCACTGACGTAACTTTGTGTAGGACCACGAAATGTTGTTTAGTAATAATTTACAAGTTTTGTTGAGATAATTCTTATGCAGAATGGAAAACAATATAGCAACCGTATGAAACGTGTTTAGTTTTCGATTTCATGGTAATTATGAACCACTGGAGCTAAGCGTCTTAAAGGTTGGTATTTTGACAGGTCATTAAGATAACATGAAGTATGTCATTCATAATGTAAATAATTACAAACATGACGACAGTACGAAATTTGAGGGCAATATCTGACAGATTTAATGTAATTAGAATCTGATATTAGTGGAATCATGCACAGAAATATTTCACTAAATTGTATAGTCATATAATTTATTGTTGTTAGCCTCACCATAACCTATAGATTGAATCATATGAAGCAAATAGGCTTCATAAGTTCTTACCAGGACTAATTGTTGTTACAGTTCTATTTAGAATCTGTGTGAGACATTTCAGTTATACCTGTTTAACCATAGCTAACTATTAGATAATTGTTTTGTCTTCTTGAGATTCTCTTGATGAAATTTAACAATAAACAATTTGTAATCAGTGCATCAACATCCACAACATTACACTAGAATTAACTGTTACTATTCATCCCAAAAATGAAAATGAGTGCTATGTTGTAATACTTCTAAACTACCTGAAAGGATAGTCAGCATAAAGTACTGATTTTGATAGGGTTTGAATCTGAATCTATTTAATACACTTCCAGGAAGTAATTGAGGAGTTCCCTGTCTACAGATCCAAAGATGTGCCATTTTCATGGAGGAGCGTAAAGGTAAAATTTTATTTCTCTTACTACATCTTTTTTTTCCCATTACTCTTGATTGATTCTATGTTTATTTAATGATGCTTCTTTATGAGATTATACAGCCTCAAATGAGATTAGATGATTGTGATGTGTACCCAGTATTAATGATGATAACAAAAATGCTAACATCATCTGCCTCCATTTTTTCATAATTCTCTCAAAGTGTTTTATATCAGTTACAGAACCATCCAGTCATTTCTCTTGCTGCTGATTCAAAAATATTTTCCCCATTCTCTTACATAAATACACATTCCATGGATGCAGGCATTAGTCAGACTGAGTATAGAATGTGCAATAAGTCACAAAGTATAAAACATACAATGAGTACAATTTACATTATTAATTAAGATTTACAAACATTAAAGTTTTACCATGAATTTATTGTTATACAGCAGACCATATAAGTAACATAACCTCTAAAAAGGATTTAGTCCTCTTTAAACTGTAGAAATTCATCGACAGAATGAAAGATGTGTATTTGGGAATCTTTTTAATGATACTTTAAATGTCTCCCTTTCATTCAAAATAGTGGTACACTGTTGATAGTAAATTTCATGATGTAATCTACCATTCTTGTCACTTGCTCAAACAATTAGGCTTTTAAAGTCTCTGCCCTTCTAATTCATTTGATATTCTCGTTTTATTCTCTCTTGGTCATCGTAATTTTTAGATGGCTGTCTTCGTGGTTGTAACACTGTGTGAAGTTTACCAGTATTACAGAGATTCTTGCTACCCTGATGATGGAGGCAGGAAGGACCTCTGAAACATTGGTAAACTTCTATCAGATTACACAGTGTTATGACCTAGAAGACGGCCATCTTTGTACTCATCATATTCACACTGTACAGTAATATGATAGAAGTTTACCAACGTGGTGAGGCGTGGTCTCATGCACTTGGACACTGTGACCGTGGGTTCGAATCCCATTCAAGGCATGGATGTTTGTTGGCGTTTTTCTGTGTTGTGCTGTCCTGTGTACAGGTAGAGGCCTTGCAATGGGCTGATCACTCGTCCAAGGATTCCTCACAAATTAATAGATCAAGAAACCTCAAAAAAAGGAGGCACCTTTGCTCGAGGAGTGAAAAGGGAATAATAGATGATCCTATTGTCATTTATCTTTTCATTCAAGAGTGTAACATGCCACTGAGAATTTATGTAGCTTTCAGCCTGCGTCACAGTTTCATTTTTGCATTACATAAATTAGGATTATCTGTTTTTTCTTTGAACAGCCTTCTATATTCAGTTTAGGAGAAAAGTTGCAGCCACTCTTTGTGTCAGTACCAATGCGTTGACATGCATTTCTCCTTCGTGCAGGAAATCAACGCAGATGCTGTTTTCCATAGCGATAGAAGAACGAGATTCCAGCAGGGGGAGATAGGTAGGCGTGACTACCACATTGCAATGCTGTGAGGCTTTTGAGAAGGGGTGAAAAGAAACTGAGAATTAAACCTCTAGCAGAAGTTTTCCATAATGTTTTCAGCGGAATAACCAGTTCAGATAAATGGTTGAGGTGACGGTCATTTGTAAGTTGTTTTGTGGTTTGCCTCGTGTCGTGGCACATCTGGCTGCGAGTAATATTGGAAAGTTTCTTCCTGTGTCTCTCCTTTAGACATGTCGGAGGGATTGGTACAGAAGTAGATTCTGATATTTTTAGCGTTCTTTGCACAAAGTGCATAAAATCTATTTCCAAAACTACTGATCAGATTTTGACGAGATGCGTCATTCAGGGACTAAAATATAATTATCCAGGCAAATTTAATTTTAGTTCATTTTAGACAATTATATTAAACTCGAAACAGACTTATCCCTTTTTTCTTTTTTCAAACACAGCTCATCAAACAAAGAACAATTGACACAAGGTGTCAAAAATCTTGTCACGTTTTACAACTTTTATTTCTGACAATTTTCACTTGTTGAATATTTAATAAAAGCAGTTTTTGACATCAGTGTGGTATGTACAGTAAAATTAGATTTTTATCACAATAAATAAATCTCAGATGAGATATAAACAATTTCCAAGAAAGAATTTAGAAATATTTGTATATTCCATGTCAGCGTTTACTTAACTAAGGCAGATAAAACTAACAGTGCAGTAAAGTGGGACTTTATTACAGGGAACTGTTGGCTGGCAGCTGCTATAGAAAGTCTGAGACAGGAAAGCAACCAGGAAGCTTACAATGAAGTGGTTCAAGTAAATGGCTCAGAACTAGAGTTTAGGTGAGGAGTTCCACCACCTTACGCTATTAGACGTTATCATATTTTATGTCTGCTTATTCGGCGTCAATAAATGTAATCTATTTTTAGCCCACTTCTTGTACTTTACAAATTAAAGATAGATACATGATGAGGCTCCCTTCATTAACATTTGTACCAGTTGATGGATTTTCATGAAACTTGGTATGAACATTGCCTTTATTGGACGACCTACATTTGTACTTTCTCACAGTTGTCACACGAGGCACTTTCGAGTCTCAGGTCGTTATAGACGGCCAGGAAAAATATGTGGCCCCAAGAAGATGCGCGATGTCCTGTCGTCTTGTGCTGATCAGCTTCATTCCAAATTCCTTGTCATGGCGCCACGTGGTACATCATCGTCATGAACTCTGGTCATTGAATTCAGTCATTTGCCAGCTTAAATCAATCATTGCTTTCACAACCTAAATAGGAGTAATACCAATATAATGGCCATGCTGATTTGTGCCACTACTAGCGTGTTACATATGTGGTTTGGGCAAATGGGACAAAATACATTTCTTCCACGTGAGAAACATAACTGAAAAATTTTCTTAACATGTTACGTTACAGGCATAATTTGATAATTTTATGTTTCTGTGATATAATAAGCCATAAGGGCCTAATATGAGCCAATTGTAAGTTATGATAACAGAAAGTGGAAAGAATTTGCTCTTATTAACTGCTTAATAGTTCGCAGTTACACTTTGGAATTATTCAGTAACCATTACATGTACTTCACAGTCAGCACCAAATTTTGACGGAGACTCTAGTTTCCACATACTTTGCAAGAGGAAACATAACAACCATTTGGATTATGAACTTAGAAGCAGATTGACTGTTTATTGTTTTAGAACTGGCATGTTACTGTTATAACATGATAACTGTGAACTCAACAGTTTCTGGCACCCAGGGCCGCACAGGCGGAGCATCAAGCTCGACAGTGATGCAGTGCCGACAAGAGACGGGGCTCTTGTTTTCATACACAATGTTGAGGACAATGAGTACTGGGGGATCCTCCTTGAGAAGGCTTATGCAAAGTGAGTATTATCCGCACAACTTCTGTCTGGACTATGGATTATTTATTTCTTTGTTGATTTATTTAACAATTCTTGATTATGAAGTGGAAAGGTTGGCAAAGAAAGCAGTTAAGGTCTGTTTGTGTAAATATTATTTATTCTTTATTACGCCGTCTCCTTTACAGGAGGTTGGTGACATTATGAACAGGATCATTCCGTCCTTTTCTGGGACTGGGACCTGTTCATATATGTCTTTTAAGCAGGTGATACAGAAGTGGTTTGCCATTGCCTTCTTCAGTGTGTATGGAGTGCCACGGAGAAACCGGGGAAGCCCCAGAGGAAAACTCTGTGTTTCCGAGACCATGGCCTTGCCCAACACAAGTTATAAATTCGGGCACCGCCGGGAATCGAACCCTAGACCCCAGGATTACAAGGCCAGCGTTCTAACCGCTAGACCACCGTGGCGGTCGGGAAGGAGATACCACAACAAAAATATTTTATTGGCTCTCCTTGCAGGTGGGTCGGATCTTATGAGGGTCTTGAGGGAGGTTTCTGGACAGATGCAATTCAGAGCTTCACAGGAGGAGTGGTGGAAAGGATTAAGCTCGGGAAAGACAGCATGCCTGACAACCTGTTTGACATCATGTTAACTTCGTTCCAAAATGGTTCCGATCTCTGCTGCATTAAGAAGGTAGGTCTCTACTTCACGAGATAGTTTTAGAATAGTAGCCTCTTTTCTGTTACAAACTGCCTGTTTGAGAAAAAATTACCAACAACAATATTCTAACATAATGCAGAGCTTTGTTGCCCTTATTGGACTATTGGTTAGCGCGCTCGCCACTGGACCCACAGTTCGCAGGTCCAAACCTGGCCTAGGTCATTGGATTTTTAAGGGTGATAAAAATCCGTAGCACAACTTCTGTCAGAGGCGAAGTAAACCTGGCATTCCCATGTCGTAGATTTACGGCATGTAAAAGAACCACACGAGCATGAACAAGATGTTTCATAAGCAAAATTCAGCGGCCATTTCTCACCCATGTCTCTCCTGATACTCTACTAGATGGCTCTGGCAGACAAAATCAGGATTGAGTAGGAATTATGCAGAGGCAGTGGACCTGTCACTCACTACTCACAAATGCACACTTAAAAGACTAAGAAACTTCCGAAAGGAGGCGGCAAAGATCCACACTCGGTTTTAGAGCGAAGGAAGAAGAATGCAGAACTTTATAATTTGTATTGTCGCCTAATATTGTTAAAATAACCGTGCTAAGAAGATGGTTTAAGAACATGTAAGGTGCAGGGTAGAAATGTGAAGCACATTTTAAAATTAAGAATATAGAACTATAGGAAAAGAGACTGCTTTAGAGACCTAAATGGGAGGATAATATTAAAATAAATCTTAGGAATTGGCTTAGGATTTTTTGTTTGTTCCAAAAACTATGGGATTTCTTGACTGATTCAATAACCAGTTGCTTGTTGCTCATGGAATACCTTACCCTGAAAAACATCCTTCTACAGAAACTCCTATGCCTAAACCTGGATTCCATTTCCCATGAGTTAAATCCAGTCCGTATCATCAATACCAAATTTCTTAAGATTTATATGTTAAAGCCTTGTATGAACCACTTTCCTGTTTAATCTCGTGTGTAAATTATGCATCGCACCGTGTGGTGCAAATCCAATTCGGCTCATCCTTTCAATACAAGGTATGTGTCGGCATCCAGTACAGTGAAATTGCTGATGGAAATGGATAAAAGTGGCTTTAGAATTAGTTAAATAGAAGTTTACAACAAAGCAAAAGGGAATAACAGACAATTGTGTCACGACCGATACACAAATTTAGTCCCTGGAGGGTTAACAGCCTGAATTGGACAGACAGCTGTGGACTGCAACTGCGAAAGCGAAATGTATAAATCCTGACAACTGGTAGTAGAGTAGAAGAGACGGGAGTTCACAAGTCTACTTTGTTTCAGGACCCACGTGACACAGAAAAGTATCACTCCTGCTGCATTAATATTATGAAGATCGAAGAGGACAACAGGAAAATATGGGTTCTAGATCCACAGAGCCAAGACTGTAATGTCTGGTGAGTAAACATAAATGCTTGTAGGTTTCGAGGTTTTCACGGTGGCGAGTCTGAAGATGGCTGTCTTCTGGGTTGTTGCGCCGTGTAGTCTGGTAGAAGTTTACCTACGTTTCAGGGGTCCTTGCTGCCTCCATCTGGTACTGTAGTTATAAACGCTACTTTACACCAGACTTTATTCCAGTTAAACAATACGCGAATCTTTGCTACTCCTACCATCCTATCATGTCGCCCTCGGTGGTCTAGTGGTAGCATGTTTGCCACTGGACCCAAGGTTTGCAGGTTCAAACCTGGCCGAGGTCGATGGAATTTTAAGGGTGATAAAAATCCGTAGCACGACTTCCTCTAGAAGGGAAGTAAAGCACGCGGTCCCATGTCGTAGATTTACGGCACATAAAAGAACCTTATGAGCATGAACAAGATGTTTCGTAAGAAAAACTCAGCACCCATTTCTCACCCACGTCTTTTGTAGAGGCCTTGGGAAGGTCTGATCACTTGTCCAAGAAGTCCCTAACAAATGTCTAAAAAAAATCAGAAGTCTCCGAAAGGAGGCCCCTATGCGCCACGTAGGAGATAAAAGGGTATAAGAAGACCAATATGTCCAATTATTAACTTTAGAACTTTTCAGCTACATTCATGTATGCGCATTGAAATGCTCAGTGATGTAATGGTTATTAATCAGACATTTGATGATGCAGCATTTTTTATTCAAAATTACTTGTACAGTAACATCCTAAAGTTTGGCACGCGTTTCACAGAACATTCTGTATACATAGCACAGAACTCCGTTATGAGGCAGAAACAGCTGTAACATTTGTAAAGCGTAAATAACAGCTGTGCCGTAAATAATTGTACTGATCTGATATAAACGTAGCGAAAGCACGAACATCTTCACGTGAAGAAATTAAATTAACTACAAATTATTGCCAGAAATTTATGTTTATAATGTGACCGGACTGACAAAGCAAAGTGTTTGAGTACATGATATTCGATAATGTGAGGGGTGACGAAATAAGACGAATTTTGCAGGACATACGAGGAATTCATAAATGAATACCATCGGCTGGACATGTGCCACAAGAACCTGGACAACTTGAGTGGGCTCCAGGGGAGGAACATAGGCTCTTCTCCTTGGGTTTCACAGACGTTCTGTCTGGAACTGGAAAACCTCTGTGGTGAGTATGTTGAGTGGAGGATGCAAACTGAGTCACAGTCACAGATAATTCAGTGCAATTGTGTTGACTGAATTAAGTTGAGAATGGCAGGCAGATATTATATAGAATGTTGTGAATTATACAGGTTGCAGTAAGGTCTTGATGGACCGAACGCGTGGTTCAGTTGTGAGAGACAATAAATACAAACAGAATTTTGTGAGGTAACATTCTGAAACACGACCATTTGGAAGACCAAGTAGGGACTGGAAAATTTATAATGAGATGGATATTAAGAAGTTGTGAGGATGTGAAGTGAATTTAATTGGATCAGCGTTGTATTTTGACTGGTTTTGTTATTAGCAGTGTTGAAATTTCACGTTCTAATAGAAGAGAGGTAGTTAAACACATGATTATCCTACCGATCCTTCGCACAAAGACTAGAAGATGTACTACATTTACACTTAACTATTCTATGTAATCGCATAACAGATTGTACCTGAGGTAACATCTTGAAACTGTCTGTGACCACTTCCATTATTTTGCCGTATATAATGGTGCCCCCATCTCAGTCTGTCTACATAATTACTTGGTAGTTTGTGGTTTACTTGATGCTGCTGGCATTAGCTGATATCATGTATCGTCAAATTATAGCATGATTAACGAGAAATGAATTGGAAAGGATATAGAAGGAAGTGATCTTGACCTGGTGGAACTGGTTGTCTGATGGGAGTAAGGAAATTCAATTAATTTTTAAATAAAATTAAAAGGTAGAGGCCTTGCGATGGGCCGATCCCTCGTCCAAGGAGTCCTACCAAATGTCCATAGATCAAGCCAACTAAAAAGTTGGAGACCCGTAAAGGGTACCGGAATATGTAGAAAACATTGTTAAACTGAAAAAAGAAGAAGAAATTTAAATTAAATAAATGCATGCATATAGCACTGTTTAACCTTTGAATTCTGTTAGGAGACTTTTAAATGCAGTTTTTCAGAATGATTTGTCAGTAATTTACACACAGCTTATATTAAAAAAAAATCTTGATTGATACATATTTGTCACTTTGTGCCTTAATCTTTTTCTGTTGCAGATGAGTTTACCATCGAACTTAACGACACAGATGATGACCAGGAAGGCTGCACTTTTGTTGTTGAGCTGGTGCAAAAAATCAAGCCTGATGATGAGGATAAGCTCAATTGTATCAAGCCCTGGGATGCATTGGTTGATTTGGAGCTGAAAGTGGGGGTGAGATTTGTTACACCTTAAGGTGACTGCGTGTATGAGCAGTAGAATGTACAGTAGTCTCTCGATGCCACTCCCATATTTATGTTTACGCAAATAAAACCTAGCAACTAAGTCATCTTAGTATAATTGTTACAGCTTTTATGAAGGAAATTTAACCGTAATGTTGAGGTTAGTTATTCTCATGTAAAAAGTGAAGCTTTCGCGGCGACTGAAGTTGATGAAGGACTCTCGGGGTACATGCCGCGCCAGGTGGCTGAATGGTGAATAAACCATATCTTCTGCCAACGTTCATCCTCAGAGCTGCTGTGTAACAAATCTGATCCTTTGTAGTGCGCTCGCAGTCTTGATGAGAGCAGAGATTATTCTCGAAATGTTGGCTGAAGATGTGGTTTATTCACCATTAGTTATTCTCGGTTTATTTTAATATGTCTGTGTTTTTATTTATCAATTGATCATGAGTAGATAGTTGCTTATAATGAAAACAAATTTTGTTCACGTACCCCCAGATATAATTTCTCTTCAACTTTGTACCCCCAAAGTTATTGGTGTATAATTCAAGTTATACATAGTATATAATCTACATATAAAATAAATTAAATAAATCACATTACTGATTATTCAGTGTTTATCATAAAATAATATTTTTTTTTTAAATTTCACGTACCCCCTAAGATGTCTTCGCGTACCCCAGGTTGAATATCACTGGTTTAAATTATAGGTAAAATCGTAATTCTTCAGAAGCTAGATTTTACTTCAGTCTTAAGATAGAATAAGAAAAGGGACAGAAATTCCAGCTCACTCAACCAGGGGGCCCAACAGATAGGGTTTCTGTCTTTTTCCTTGTTTCACCCGAAAGTTAAAGCAGATTCTGGTTTCTGAAGCGCTGTGATTTTATTTATAATTTTGATAATGGACAACACAAAAAAATAAATTTTTCAGATTATAACACACCATCATCAGAAACCTTCAATTTTCAACCATGTGTACTTCTTTTTACAGGATGAAGAATTTGCGACCAAGTATCCACAAGAGACACATTGCTTTACAATGCAACCAGGCACCTCTGATATAAGGGTCACCACTGACACAGAAGAACACGGCTCGATTTACATGCGCATATCCTCAAAGAGAAAGTACGAAGTGAAACGCAAGGAGTAAGGCTGCGTGAGACCTGTCACAACAAACTCTGCACGTAACAACTGGACGGCTTCGATAAGTCTTAGTTATAAATATTTAAAATAGTATTGCTCTATTTATGCCAGTATATGTGGTTTTATTATTTCCCAACATTGTATATTGTTTGGTGTAGTGGAATTTGTTTATTTTAGGCAAATTTCATATCAAAGACTCAAATTGTTCAGTGAATGAGTAAAGGGTTTGTGTCCAGGGCTTGAATCGAGACGAGGGAAGTTCTGGGCCCATCGAGCCCAGCAGGTTTCAACGAAATTTCCCTGGGAGTTCCATTTACCCACGTGTCTTCGTGGTATGATGATCATTACGTTCACTTTGATGTACCTCACATGTTCACAGAGCAGAGTGTCAGCTACTTATACTGTGCCTGCACCTTCCTGATCCACCATCTTCAGTTATTTACATCAGTATACATGCTCAGCGAGGGCGTATTGTGTTCAAAGTTCTTATACTGCAGTGGTCAGTCAAAAATTGAATTTATTTTTGGTTTTGTTTGTCTAGTCTGATTCAAAATCTGACAAATTTAACCATTTTCTTGCGAGTTTGGCACATGAGTGCAAAATTTTATGTTTTAGGGTAAAAAAATAGCTTCATCTTCCGTGCCTTGTCTGTCCAAATCACAGTGTTATATCCAAATTCTAAGCATGTCAGTTTCAAGACGGCAGCAGCGATGAACCTTCTGGTTCTGTAAGCCATATAGTTAGTTGGTCAACATATTTCAGAAGTATAATTATTCTGTTGCCTGTAGTTATTTTTAGTTTATGATGTGTTACACAAACCGATAACCAAAATCTGGAAGCAAACAGAGCATTATCCTGTGTCGTGATCATAAATCTTTGATATTTCCTGTACAGATAACACAAAAGTGCACCACCATATCTGTTACGGAAAAAACAGAAAGAATGTGCGACTTGTTCGGCTTATCTTAAGATAGGAAAGTGACAGGCGGGACTTCCGTGTGTTTCAAGGGTGAGGTTATTGCTGTACGGAGCAAACGGCAATGTACTCTCATGCAGAATAATGCAGAAATATGAAGACAAAAAACTGGTGGTAGTTTTTGTGTTGCGACAAGTCCACCAGACGACAATCTCATAAACGGAATAACTCGTGGTTTCCCTCAGAATCTGAAGGAAGGAACTGGGAGATAATTTTCTGACCAGCTGAACAGCCAACAACTGGTCGGGGCGCGTAGTGTAATTACCATGCTTTCATTTTACTGCTTTATACTCTTAATCAGGCAGTCTTCTGAAATGGTTGCAAAAACACGGAAAGTGTAAAATTATGGACATGAGAATTCATTGGAGAAATTAAAATAAATACATGCAATAACATTGCAAAAAAAAACTTTAAAGATTAATGAATTCTTGTTGAAAAGATTGCATACGAGGTGCGATCGGAAAGTTTCTAGACTGCGCGTATAAAAACCCGTACACTTATCTCAGGTATTAAATTCATCCATCACCCTCGAAGTAGTTCCCCTGGGAGTGAACACAACGATCCCAGCGCCGCTGCCAAGCCTGGAAGCATCCCTGGAAATCTTTCTTTGTCAGCCTGTCAAGCACCATCTGCGATTCTGCCTAAATCTCTTCTATTGTCTCAAATCTCCTTCCCTTTAGCTGAATGTTCATCATTGGGAAGAGGAAGAAGTCACACGGAGCTAA